GCGAATCAAAATTGTTGATGTACGCCAGATGGTCTTAAGAAGAAAGAACTCTCCCGCGATAGATGAATAACTCACACTTTATAGGTTACATTGGTTGGGACAGGAACTCCGCATGCCAGAAGATCGTCTGCCTCGCAGAGCTCTTTTTCCCAAACCCTGTACTGGATTGAAGCGAACGAGAGGTTGACAGTGTATGATCTGTCAACGAATTATGAAAACAATAGCCTGTAAGCTCAGTTGGACCGTGCCCATTATTCGCACAATGCCCTCAGCTGCAAAACCTTTTCCATTTGAGTAAAACTTTGTTCACCAAAATGTTGCATTTTGTTGTGCGTGTGCTCAAACAAAAAACCGTCCTAATCTACCTTCATATTTTCACAGCTCACCAAATTTCATTGTTCACTAGAGCAACCGTGCTTGTGGCTGAAAAGTCTGGTGAAATAATTCCCCAGCATCTCTGAGACCCCGGTATGCCTAAATGGGGCTTAAAAATTCAAACTGGTATTCTCAACTCAATAATTGCCCCATCAGGGACACGTCATAACTTTCGAAATATCAATTTCATTGAGCGCCTAGTTGGACCGACATATCTGCCGCCCCCCCTGGATGGGGACCCCGTGACCCAACTCACCAGTGGTTAGTGACGCTGGCAGAAATGGCCCGCCCGTTCAGTCACTGGCGCTTGTGCATTGAAGCTGTCGCCTCCAATGCGTACCTGTCCAATTTCCGAACAAACTGAACGTGTCTTTGCCTCCAACGCTTGACTGTAGGTTCCACACACCCCCAATTTCCGGTGATCGAAACTGTAGCAGCTGTAACCAATGTGCCTATGGTACAAGGTTTACAGCTGATTGAATTGATTGATGAATGTACGGCATTTGGTGCGTGAACAGGATGGACGCCAAAGTCTCCGAGAATTAGACGAAGGTACTGTTTATCACGCACCAAGGTGAGGTCAGAAAAAATCCAGTGAACATACACCAGAAACTGATAATCGTCAAACCCCCTCCTGGCGCTTTCTAGATAATACCCTAACCTTAAGTTGTCAAGTTACTTCAAATGGTTCTGTGAACCTCGATGGCATTGTTGTCTGTTTGTAACTCATATGATCTCACCGTGGATGTCACAGGCTGGTAACGCGGAACGACCCGTTCGTATGTTTCTGTTGCAGGCAGTACCTTGGGATTTCACACCGCGACTATCCTCGTGAGTACAGACTAGCTTGTTGCCATCACACACACACACACTAGGGGACCATCACGTCTGCACAGAAGAACACGTTTGCGCCGGAGCAATGCGATTGGTTAGTTTGCTCGAGACCTTGAGATCCTCACTCCCTCTGGTGGCCGCATCCCCATGGTGTTCGCAGTCAGTCTGTGTGATTTTCTGGCCTTCTAGGCCGAATACACACTCAACTAGTCAGAAAAAATCCAGTGAACATACACCAGAAACTGATAATCGTCCAACCTCCTCATGGTTTTCGCAGTCAGACTGTTTGATTTTCTGGCTTTCTAGGCCGAATACACACTCAACGTGTTCATATCGCAGACATTGTCTGAGACGGCCACTACACGGAGACTGCTACGGATGGGAGGCAGCGACGGTCAAATTTCACACCCGTTCCAAAAAATCGATTCGTCCCGGTTCGTACTGATTGGAACTAATTTCCTTCCGATAGCTGACGACCAGGTTACTTTACCAAAGGAAACCACTCACTAGGTTGCTGAAAACTCTTCGACAACCCACGACCGGTTTTGCTTTTCCATTTGGTAGGCGCAGTCCCCGAGTTTCCGTCAACCTTATGTTTCACTTGAACCCAAATTGGACTGTTTTTGAGAAACACACTCATTTGCAAACCAATTCGGTTTTCACGAGATACTCAACTGAATCTCTCGTTTATGATGTTCTTCACCTGAATGTGCTGCACAAAGGCCGCCTCAGGCTCAACTTGGTATGATATTCGAGATATCACAATATATTTTCACAAAGGAAACTACTCACAAGGTTGTCAGTAGGTTATTTAATAACTCGGCCGAAACACCGTCGTAACATGTATCCGCACTGGATGCCCAAAATGAGTTGGCGTCAAGATTGGAATCAGGTGCTATTTCGAAGACACACAACTTTAGATTCCCGCCCGTCTAAGGGACTGTCCTGCTCTGGTGGTGCTTTCCTGACCGCGACTGTCAATCCCGATTGGAAAAAAAGCAAACCTATTCCCCTCGTTTCGACCATTTTTTCTATTAGCCTGAAATTTTTGTAATCAAGAGGCGTTGTTTCCACCATCTTGTCAAAATAACACTGCAGGCGAATGTGATTTTAACACTGGACTGACGAAATGCATCGGGATGCATGCGGATTGGCTCATTCGATTGTTCATCTTATTGGCTCGGGGGGGGGTCCCCTCCAATTGGCCCGTGAGTGATATCCACTCAACATTGAACTATCGATTATTTGATTCATTTCCGCCAGTCGAGTTTGTGCAACCGTCGTTCCACTTGATGGAGACAACATGCAGACAGCTGGTAGTCAGTCAGTACTATTAATACTGGATGCTTGAAGGTCTCCAAGGCAGAATTTGAATGCCTCGTTATCATCATTAGTATCATCGCCATTGATAGCAAAACGACCGTGATTTATACGGATAATGAACGGCTATACAATCATAAGGGGAAGGGTTGGGACTTGGTGCCAAGTAACCCTGTGTCCTTGAGGAGGACGGTCACGAATAAGTTACCTACACCTTCGAACAATATTAGAATAAACACATCTGAGTGTCATATCAGAGTGGAGCGAGATGGCTCGAGTGGTTAGAGCGCGAATTTACTGAACGAAAGGTCCATGGTTCGAATCCGACCTCTGCCTCTCGTCTTACCCTGCCTAGGCTTGGGCAACCTGACAGTATCCCAGCCCTCGTGCTTCCTTCGGGTAGCATGGCAGCTAGGCACCGGAAGAGTGTTACAGCTGAACGAACGTTCGTTCATATCAGGGTAATGCACAACCAGCGAGATCAACAGAGCTTCGTTCGCGACCAGTGCACGACAGGCGTACTTTAGCTAGACATTCCAGCTAGGGAATCGCACATCATCGACACCGATTGCGAGGCATATCATGCAGGGTTTCCAAACACCTGCAATCAGAATCAGGGCCCCAGTCAGGGAGACACGGGGATCCAACAGTGCTCAGTGTGACAGTAACCATGTTTGTGCCCCGCAAACCTTTCGCCAACAATACCCTGGAACAGAAAACAGCACGTTACTCGGTAGACGATGGTTGGGCATACGTGTCCGAAACACCCCAATTCAGTGAGCTAATCTTCTGCGTACGCACTGGCAGATAAACTGTGCTATGCTACGAGGACACCGGTGACCTAACATTTAGAGCTGCCTCAAATCTTCGAATAAGAGGCGTCAATTCTCACAGCCATAGCATAAGGGAGCGCTTACAATCGCTTGTATACACGTCAAAATACACAGCGAAATTCGAAGAATCCCCAATGAAAGGCATCCCGATGTTCTGTCTTCATCATGCTCACCACCGAACAGAGTGGTAGAAGTCGAAGCGAAAAACGGATCAGACAGAGGTAGACCAACCAGTTCATGAATGAGGAGTGGCAAATTACTGCCACTTGGTGACCACGTCGACTCCAACCGTCGGCGAAGTCGGTCACGTGCTTCCAGACCCAGTGAAACATCAGTCCTTAACCGTGATGACACTGATGCAGCGATGTCTCTTACTGGGTTAACCGACCAAGGTCATCATAGCTCCGGACCATTGCATCAAGTATGACCACTGTTTCGTTCCCGGTCTGGCTAAGGCCACCTGACTCAGGCTCTACGCTGAAATCGGGTAACGTGATCTAGCCCGGTAAGTGAAGGCAATCTCTGCCGAGAGGCACCACAGAGCCATTTCATTCTTCCTGGGGATCGTTGGCAGTGCGGACCTCCAGGGCGATTCGAACCCTTAATCTTCCAGCTATTAAGTGAAAATTAAGTAATTTGGTCACGAATGACTGATCAGTAGTGATTAACATGTAATTGTATGAAAAAAATCGTTCATCTGTAGCACCATTTCGGTGCCTAGCTGCCGCGCCACAGCTCAAAGAAAGCACGAGGACCGGGATACTGCCAAGTTGCCGAAGCCTAGACAGGGGGAGTGGAGAGGCAGAGGTTGGGTTCGAACCACGGACCTTCCGGCCAGTAAATTCGCGCTCTAACCACTTGGGCAATCTCGTCCCGTACTTGGATGAGTCATAGCGCCACTCACCCCTCAGTCAAAGAAATTCATATCACGTGGTGACTGTGTTGGTGTCAGATTACTGACTAGCACATCGACAGTCAAAACCGAGAGCTTCTGTGCGCCGATGATGAGACTAACTCACCGAAATACAGAGAACGACCGATTGCACACAAGAGCCGTTCCTGTTGGGCAAAGCGATATCAAGTCGGCGACATACTCAACACCCCGATGACGAGAACAGCAAGTTGCTAAACAGATTTTATCTGAAGGATGAGTTTATCCCTGCCCAAGCCTCAAATTCCGTGAGGGTACACTTCTGGTCGAAGAAGATCCGGTATCTCCTGTATCTCGATGATGAACAACAAATTTATCTGCATCTAGCATATGGTCTGTTTGTAGACGCAGGGGGGCGAGATGGCTCAATGGTTAGAGTGCGAATTTGCTGACCGAAAGGTCCGTGGTTCGAATCTCACATCTGTCTCTCGACTTCTCCTGTCTAGGCTTGGGCAACCTGCCAGTATCCCAGACCACATGCTTCCTTCGGGTGGCATGGCAGTTAGGCACCGAAAGGGTGTCACGGCTGCATGCAACCTGATTGCTCAGCCCAACGAACAGAAGAACCAGCTACCAATATTCTCTTCGGGCGTGCAACGCTCAAAGCCAGGTCGTCGCTGAGAGAACTTTGTGTGCCGGCAAGACTGCAGCATGCACGAACCGAGATGACATCGTTGTGGCGTATTGTGGTGCATCCCGAGTGAACGATGAATGGTCTCAGCCGTCACCATGACCTCTGTCGCGGCGTCACCATTATAGACATCCACCTATCTACCCGGATACAGCTTTCAAATTCGGAACGAGCTCCTGACCAAGTACCAGTTAATCCCAGAGTTCTGGAACACCGTGTTCGTGTGCACCGAAAGATCACCGTACCTGGATCGATGAATGTTGGTCCTCCGAGACAGACTTGAGAACTAAACCATACAGGCAAGTCTCCGTTATGCCACCGAAAAAATTGTAGTCAGTTCTGGAAAACATCCGGTCGTCGGACTCCTCCTGTCAGCCAAAGCGTCTTCGCCCACCAAAACGCGTGTGATCTGGACATAAAATTCGATTGATGAATCAAAACACATCGAGATCGATAAAAACACAGCTAACAAAATAATCACATGGATGGACATGATGTGAGTAAAATCTGCGGTGCGGGGGGGGGGACGTGAAAGTACGCAGGAGGTAGGTGGAAAAATCTAACATCGAGTAAATCAGGAAAGAGTTCAGAATGGGTTTACATAGCCTATTTGGTCCAAATCGATAAAAAAATGTGGGAAAAGTTAAAATCGGTTGCATACTGTCTGTCGGAAGTGTAAGACTTGTTCCAACAACGTGTCCAACACTGGGTTAAACATATCGATCACAATGGTTCCCGGTTCACACTTTCGTTTCTCTATTGTCAAGTCCCAGGACTGTGCTAGTTTCGACCAGTTTTTTGAGTTAGGGTCAAGGTCACTGCATGTGATGTCATCTTCACTTGAGTCATGAAGAACGATTGTCAGTGTGTTGGGACGTGTGACAGCCGAGATAGGAGAGGCGTCATTGAGCTGATCGTTCTTCAGCACAACAGCTTCCACTTGTTGGGTCGCGGTCGAATCGGAATCTGGACTGAGCGGACAGGTAGACTGAAATAAAGCGAAAGCGAATCAGAGAGAAAGAGGATCTACGTATCATTCAGCTAAAACATCCTTTCGGTACCTAGCTACCATACTACCCAGAAGAACCAAAAGAGCCGAAGTACTGCCAAATTGCCCGAACCTAGACAAGAACAGTCGAGATGCCAGAGTTGGGTTCGAACCACGGACCTTCCCGTCAGTAAGTTTGCAACTTCAGCACTCGGGCTCGTTTTCAAATGCAGAAATCAATGCACGATAACGCCAGGATCCTCTCCAAAAAATGAGTGGATATCCAAGTCAAGTTGCTTGACCTAACTGGCGACTTGATACGTAAACGTAAAGCGAAAAGGCAGATCGACTCATTCAACGAAGCTGACACCGCGTCCACAGTGGACGTACCGTCACGAGCTGTTTGAATACCGGAAAACGATGTCGCATATGCGAGATGGTCACAAGAGATGTGGGTCTATGATAACCACATAGATGATTGGATCAACACACACGATTGACCACAAACAACAAACAAAGTTTCCAAGTCTAGACAACATAAACAATCATTTTAAATGCTCCGAATATTAAACAAAAAAGCGAGCTCCAAGGTGAGTGGAAGGAATCGACACCTACTGCGTGAACTTGCATTAAGCGGTTCAAATTAATAGAGACGGCGTCATGCGGAAACTTTTTTGGAAAGTCTTACCGGTTCAACGTAAACTCCAAATTCTATAGCACTCATACGAAAACCAAAATCAGCAACAATCCCCAGCGCCATCTCACAGGTGCATCCCACGAAACCTACGTAGCGCTTTTAAAATTCGACTACTCATCAGTAACTAAAAACCGTTTGCAATTTCAACCTACACGTCCCAACATCACTGCATCTGATTGGACGAGCGATTCCAAGTGCAAGACACTCAGTAACCCGCTTTGACAATAAACAGGCAGTAGTCAAGATGAGCATTGTTAACTATCAGTGACGCTACGCAGTAACTGACATGAAACACCGATTGATGGAAAGCTAGTAGTGAAAGGTACGAAATTTTCACTTTGGTTACTCATCATTTTCTGGAGCGGAACAGCCTTATTTGATCAAGTTGAACACAAGATAGGCCACTCCGTCTTCTTATGTCTCAGCATGTTCGAGAACTGGTGTCTTCAGAAACGAGTTATGTCGTTCTTTACACTCCATCGGTCAAAACGAAGCTGCAAGAGTCAAGAATCCACAAACCGCTTCTGAAGACAGTCATATTTTATCTGCCCAGTCGGAGGCGGGCGATTTATGCCGACAAAAATGGGAGTATTCGTCTCGGCAACGTCTCACATCTCGGTTCGGAGAGACCCAGCAGCACCACGTACGCACTTCATCAGCAACGATGAAGTAAATGCTCGGGTGAATTGGGTAAATAAACGAGTGAAAATTAACGCCTCAGTGTAGTCACCTGCTGTAACATTCAGATGTCGTACCTCTTCGGTGCCACGCCACCCAAAGGAAGCACGAGGGCTGGGATATTGCCAGGTTGCCAATCCTAGACCATATTTTATCTGCCCAGTCGGAGGCGGGCGATTTATGCCGACAAAAATGGGAGTATTCGTCTCGGCAACGTCTCACATCTCGGTTCGGAGAGACCCAGCAGCACCACGTACGCACTTCATCAGCAACGATGAAGTAAATGCTCGGGTGAATTGGGTAAATAAACGAGTGAAAATTAACGCCTCAGTGTAGTCACCTGCTGTAACATTCAGATGTCGTACCTCTTCGGTGCCACGCCACCCAAAGGAAGCACGAGGGCTGGGATATTGCCAGGTTGCCCAATCCTAGACAGGGGAAGTCGAGAGGCAGAGGTTGGATTCGACCCACGGACCTTCCAGTCAGTAAATTCGCCCATCTCCCGCTCCGTCACCATCTCGTCACGCGCTGTAGTGTGTTCAGTATTGTATGATAGCGAAATGTGAACGTTCTACCTGACACATTGGAACGCCCGGCACATTTCACCTATCCAATATCTTGTAGCAAGATCGATTACCGGGCGCTGAGATTTTCAAACGAACCCAGATAATTGAAACGGAACGTACACGGCGATGTGCAACCACCCACTGGCGAGATCAAGGTGGCTCAGTGACCGGAAGTTTCGTGGTACGAACCCAAGCTCTGCATGTCGGCTCTTTCTGTCTAGGCTGAGGCAACCTGACAAAATCTGAGCCCATGGGCGTCCGTGGGTTTAGATGGCAGCTGGGAACCGAAAGGAAACTAATTCACCACTGAGTCACTGAAGGAGGGCGACAGTTTTCGGGTAATTTTGAAAAACTAAACCGTAATCTCGATTTCATGTGGTTGAAAACTCTGACATTCGACAGAACAGTCTGGCGAACCACTGTTTGGACGAATTCGAAGAGCCCACAGAGATGCAGAACTGAAACCCGAGCGAGCTATTCGAAATAAGGGCTGATTCATTCCGGACTGTTTAAATTAGAACCGGGCTGCGGTGTTACCAGTAGAGTTTGCGTGCGGAAATGAAGTTCACGAGTGCTTCCTCGTATGCGGTCCGACGGAAAACAGACAATAACGATAAGACTGGGCGTGGTACGGTGACCGAACCTATAGGTAGCCGTGATCATAAAACCACAGCGGTGACTGAACAAAGTTCGCACACCATTTAATCACGCTATCAGCACGAAAGACACGAAAACTGGGTCAAGTAAACACGCAGAACAATAGCACAAACAAATACTACTGGAGGTCAGTCCAACTAGGTCACCTGTCTGATACACAAGGCCGGGCAACCACCGAGAACCCGCTGTGATCTTCGAAATCTCAGGTGTTGGGGGTAGGTAGTCGGTCAGATTAAAACGCTACTAAACTCGGTAACTCGATCACTACTAGCCGTCAAAACGCAGTGGGATTCAGGAAAGTTGTCTGGACCAAATAAGTTAGGACTCAACCGACCACTCTGCACACACACACGCCTAAAATTCGCGAAAGAGCGCAGCTGTTTCAAATTTCGCTTCTCTGGTGAGTGTGATGGAGTGGATCATGGTATTTGGCCTCAGTTCCAGAGTTGAAAGCGCTTTGTCGGACGGTCGTCTTTGTTCTCTGTGGCTGTCTGGAACAACTACGATCAATACAATCGGGTCTGTTGTGTCCGCAGATGCTCGAAAGTTGCGAAGAGGGGTTTTATCGACACCTGCCACAACTGCTTCGGTCAGCAAAAAGGACAATCATCCTGGTGAGCGATAACAACGTTCGAGATGGACGACGAAACCCGGCAGAAGGAACTCGGGAAGCCGGATCGACCCGTTTAGCTGCGCGTCCGATAACATCTGTTCCTGGTCGGTGCGGACTTTCAGCACAAGCGATCGCACCATGCCACTTGGAGGCCGCCAAATGCATAACAGTAGAGGATTCACTTGGATCATGCGGCCGGAGGAGAGATCCAATCAACGACTGTCATTCCCTTTGAGGCTCGTTTGGCAATGTGTTTTCCCTCAAGACTAATGGAATGTTGCTCAGTTCACTGACACTAACAGGTCTCCATAACTCAAAAATATTGAGCAGATCTGTTTAGAAAACTAACAAAAAGTCACGGATTCACTGATGCTGAAGACTAGCTGGAAGGAGAATAGAACAGAGTGCCCTTAGCCTGTAGAAATGCCTCCCCAAGGCATCCGGATAGATTACATGGATATCGTCAAGGTCAACGGACCTTACTGATGCCAGGAAACCACGGGAATAATTGGCGAAAGAAGCTCAGAACACGCAGGATTTCGGTGCAGGAAACAGGTGGATTCAGTTTCGATCTGCCGGCTTACAGAGGGTGACTATTAGCGAGATAGATCAGTGGTTAGAGCGCGAAATTACCGACTGGAAGGTCCGTCCTCTACCTCTCGACTTCCCCTATCTAGGCTTGGGCAACCTGGCAGTATCCCAGTCCTCGTGCTTCCGTTGGATGGCATGGCAGCTAGGCACCGAAAGGGTGCTACAGCTAGACGATTTTTTTCATCAGTGAAAAAGATGGAAAAGTCGCTCACAGAATCGTCGCCTCCAGCAATAAGTTGAGTATTTCGAAGAACAATTCAGGCGACAAAAAAACTACGTCAGCCGAACGCTACAGCCCGGGTACAATCGCATCATATCTAGCCGAAATCGCTGGCGCATGTCTTCTAAGCCCCATACAGACTCACAATCGCTACGATTCAAATCGCTTTTCTGGCAAGCGGACAACTGTGTTCAAGATAAACCTATGTTTCCCTACGAACTAGACCAGATCTACAATCTGCCGATTGAGGTAGTAGACAAATTTGTTTACCTGGGCAGCTGTATCAGTCCTGGTGGTCTGGTGAAAGATGATATTTCCATCCGGATTCGGAAGGCCAGAGCAGCTTTTGCGAACCTACGTGACATCAATTCTCTGTCAAGGGTCGAGTTTACCATGCTACGCTGCGCTCCATGAATCAGAAACCTGGCCGCTGCGCGCCGAGGACGTCAGAAGACTTTCAGTGTTTGACCATCGATGTCTTCGGAGCATTGCCCGAATCTGGTGGGAACACCGGATCAGCAATTCTGAAGTACGCCGAATGGTATTCGGGAGAAATAACTCACCCTTGATAGATGAACTGATCACACTGCACAGGTTGCGCTGGCTTGGCCACGTGCTGCGTATGCCAATCAACAGACTTCCTCGAAAGGTTCTTGCACAAGCACGTAAAAGGTGGAAGAGTGCCAGAGGCGGTCAAACAATGACCTGGCAGTGAAGTATAAAAACCGTTACCAGCAAATTCAGCTGCGCTGGTCACTGCCGTCCCCAAATCATCAGTGAACGAAACTGCGGCAGCTACAACCACTGCACGACGAGTGCGCGGTTCTTACAGCTGACAATATGATGATGATGATGATGATACTCTGCCGGTGACTGTGTGATCTGACTCAGTGATCCACACACCTCTTCACTTCGAACATCAAATTATGGATGTCCCTAACCACACACCGGACCAAACTCCGGAAACGAACTTTATCGCTATTCTGATTCTTCTCACAACTTTCACGAGTATATGCAGTTGAATTCAGACTAAGTTGGCTCAGTTGTTGCAAAAACTTGAAGGCGGACAAAATAAAATAAATACATAAATCGTTCAGCTGTAACATCCTTTCGGTGCCTAACTGCCATGTCACCCGAAGGAAGCACGAGGGCTGAGATACGGCCAGGTTGCGCAAGCCTAGACAGGGGAAGTTGAGAGGCAGAGGTCGGGCTCAAACCACGGACCTTCCGGTTAGTAAATTCACGCTCTACCCACTTGAGCTATCTCGCCCCCGATTGAGAACTACCCCGTGCTTGGCTGCAAACGGTGAAAGATGTCAACAGCGTTCATATTGTCAGTCGTCTTCCGGAGTGTCTGGTTGAGTCCTGGAGACGTACAGGCCTCCGCGGCCTGTCAGACATACCCTCCCGTCGAGAATTTTTCTTTTCAGCAGGGATCTTTGTGCAAGTAAACTGACAGAGTTGTATGGCAGTGCGGTGCGATTGATTTCACCGCCTTTGTAACACATAAAATTGAAAAATCATACTCATAAGAACTGGGTTACTTGGAAAACATGGTTGAATGGCAATCGAGCCCGGATGGATAAAGTTTTGGATCGGTTTTTCGATTGCTCGGGTTCGAATCCCATATGGGCACCCTCGAACTGATTTACATAGTGATAATACGCATATTTTTTCGGGAGCAAATATACACACGGCAAAAGTGACATAGCAATGGTTCGAGGAACCTCTCCCAAGATATGTCTTTCAAATGATGATGATGATGATGATGATGATCTGCCGGTGACTGTGTGATCTGACTCAGTGATCCACACACCTCTTCACTTCGAACATCAAATTATGGATGTCCCTAACCACACACCGGACCAAACTCCGGAAACGAACTTTATCGCTATTCTGATTCTTCTCACAACTTTCACGAGTATATGCAGTTGAATTCAGACTAAGTTGGCTCAGTTGTTGCAAAAACTTGAAGGCGGACAAAATAAAATAAATATATAAATCGTTCAGCTGTAACGTCCTTTCGGTGCCTAACTGCCATGTCACCCGAGGGAAGCACGAGGGTTGGCATACTGCCAGGTCTCCCAAGTCTAGACAGTGGGGTAGTCGAGAGGCAGAGCTCGGGTTCGAACTACGGACCTTCAGGTCAGTAAATCCACACTCCAACCACTTTGTCCATCTCGCCCCGAGCTACTTTAGACACACTGGAGGCGGTCCTAGCGGGTGGCGGATGTTCGACAGCTGGTGTCTGCGGGTCGTCCTTCGAACTTATCATGTGGTTCGCCGGCAGTGGTTCGGAAGAACCTTCCCACAGTGTAAACCGTAAAGAATCGGGAAAGTCCATCGCGTACCATCTTCACGGTGCTTCACACGAACTGCCGTTGCCGACTGGCTACTGTTCGTGGGCTCGGACAGCTACCATATGCTGTTATATAAATACAGCTCATATTTGTGCCTAATGGACACAACTGCCCATTTCTTAGAGGTAAATGGACAGTCACAAGCTTTTCAAGACACCTGAAACCCACATGTGTCCACAAAACCCCTTAAAAGTCATATTCTTTCACAAAATAGCAACCAATTTGAGATGTTTCACCGGTGCATATACGAATAACCGGCCGTGGATTTCTGAGCTTGGTGCCTAGAGTTGATTTGACCAATCGGAAATGGACACGTGACCCACTGTTAACGACTATGGTTGACTCACCTCCTCAAGGAAACTCACTGGCTCCGGTTCTACTTGCACTGAATTGGTGGCCAGTGCACTCAGTTGGCCAAGCAACAACAGATCGACCCAGTTCTCCAATACACCAAACGACGGTTGAGAAAGATTGGTGACGCCGCTCGTTGGCTCCCACGGTTGGTCCGCGTCCATTGTTAGTTTTGCCCAACTCATGGTCAATTCGATTGCAAAAGTACGCGAACACGGAGCCCACGAATACAAATGGTCCGTACCCAGTGAGGCTACACTACCGGTACGTATTTGTAGCCCAGCACAGGGACAAGAATTCTTTCCACACAAACCACCTGTGACGGCACAAAGTTTGACGGTGGAACACGTTTCGGAATGGGAGTTGAACAGTTCATTCATGCGTATCAATGCGCTCCACATATGCGCAAAGGGTGTTAGTTGTTCGTTCTGGAAAATGGGATGAACAGTAGATACAAGAATCGGGGTTTTGTAAGAGTGACTAACGAGGGAAACTCGCCCCCCCCCCTCAAAGCGACGTAGTAGTAAGCCCCAAACCAGTCTGAAGGGATGAGATTCCCAGTGTATTGAACAGGGTTGGGCGTGAACTGTCCACTAAATAAAATAAATAAATCATTCAGCTGTAGCGACCTTTCGGTGCCTAGCTGCCATGCCACCCGAAGGAAGCACGAGGGCTGGGATACTGTCAGGTTGCCCAAGCCTAGACAGGGGAAGTCGAGTGGCAGAGGTCGGGTTCGAACCACGGACCTTCCGGTCAGTAAATTCGCGCTCTAACCACTTGAGCCATCTCGCCCCACTGTCCACTAAAGTAGTTCACATGTCTTTTCATAAAGGAAACTCCTCACAAGGTTGCTAAAAACTTTCCAACAGCCCACGACCGGTTTCGCCCTTCTTGAGGCTCATCAGGTAGGCGCAGTCCTCGAGTTTCCATCAACCTTATGTTCTACTTGAACACGCCATCACATGTCATCAAAACCATCCAACTGGAGTGGTGTAAAAAAAAGACAATCCATCCACAAATAGAAACTCGGTGCAATTGCTTACCAGCAGAAAGGCATCAAAGTATGTGTTGGGTGAGAACACGGCTGATTTCGAACAATCACGATTCTCTAGGGCTCCCTGCTGAGATGTGAAGAAAGTCCACTAACCTACATGGCATCCCATTTGATTAGTTCTCGCTCGAAAGATCATCATTTCCATCATCGACAGCATGACATCAGTGTTGAACACCGATGCTTCACTGCCGTACAACCATGATTTATTTGAAAGCCTTATGGTGGAAAAAAGGACAAAGGTGGACGGGGAAGGGACTTAGTGTTAGCTTACCACAATCATTCCAAGGTGCCTACACCACCAGACACTCATTCAGGCAATATGGTGAGAAACTGACAACAAGAACGTCACTGGTTGACAGCCATCTATTGAAGTGTCTCCAGCCACTAAAAAACAACCAAAGTAAACCAATCAGGAAATTTTTTTATGCAGTAGCTAAACGAAAACGATCGCTTAGGAAGACGGGACAGCTATTAAGTAGTTAGTGGGGGAGGGGGGGTCGCGTGCAATTTGTTTAGATGGGGTGGCCAGGATCACCTCAGTAACTTTTCACACCGACTCTGAGTAGGAAGGACACGAAGAACTACACAGTCGGATTGCAGTCACCTAAGCAGTTACTTTACTCGGCCGCGACTGTCCACAGTTTGGTTTCCAGAGCTGGATAGATTGAAAGAAAGGCGCCCGACAGTCAGATTACGTGGTTAGGCCGGAAGGTGCATTTGTGAAAAGATTGTCATACGGAAATTTACGGAACATTATATTCTCCGAAAAAAGTCGTTCAGCCGTGGCACTCTTTCGGCGCCCAACTTCCATGCCGCCAGAAGGAAGGGCGGGGGCTGGGATACTGCCGGGTTGCCCAAGCCTAGACAGGGAAAGTCGAGAGGCAGAGGTCGGGCTCGAACGACGCAACTTCCAGTCAGTAAATTCGCGCTCTAACCATTGACCAAAAGACTGCGTTGCGGTTAAACCGATTAAACTCGGTTCAGGCATTTGTTCAGTATTTCCAGGCGAACTCCAGACACAACCTTCATAGTGTGGTTATGGGGTCCAGCATGAAGACCAGCGGTCGCTTGACGGTTGGAATTAACTTACCTGATTAAAATGGAATCCGGTTGTACGAAGCGATCAAGTAATTCAGAGTGCTCACCGAGATATGAAGACGGCATCTAAGCGGCAGCGAATTACTTTCGTTTGATTCTACTGGGCATTGTGGAAAGCGCACTTCGTTCTTTATGTTGGAAGACATTCACCGAAGTTGACCGCGCTGTTGGCAAATTTCCATTGCCAAATAGTAACAATTCCTATATGGTCGAACGCTGGAGCGACACAGTTCAGACGTGGCAATCTGAGATCTTCTACGGGTATTCTTAGTGGTCAAAACGGCCGCCGCATACTTAAGGCACTCGGTTCGCACCTGATGAGGACCAGTGCAATACTCAGGTATTCATTTTGGCAATAACTGTGGATTCTGTTAAGGCCGAAACAACGCAAGCACTGTTGCTGACAGAACAGACAAGGATAACTGCAATGGCCCGGAACGTAATTCCTCGTGTGGTGGGCTTAACCGTTTGAGGCACGAATAATTGAACTTGCTTATTTTGTATAAACGTAACGCACTACTCACAAGGTTGCTGGAGAACCGAGTGAAGTTCCAGATAGCTCCGTGATTAAGGCGCGAACTTACTGACCGGAAGCTCCGGGGTTCGAGCCCAACCTGGGTACGTCGACCGACCTTGTCTAGGCTGAGGAAACCTGTCAGTATCTCAGCCCTTATGCTTCCTTCGAGTGACATGGCAGCTAAGCACAGAAGGGTTATTATAGCTGAGAGACCGAAATCACGACAGTTTGCATTCGTACCGTGGATATGATGAGGCATGTGGAGTTAGGACATGCCATTAAAAAACCCGAGATAAATTTGGATTCAGGACACAGAAAACAATCGAAAAACAGTACCATCGAAAGAACTCACAGTGAACAGGATATTACACCAAGCACCGTTGTTTTTTTGCAATGAAAACATTTCGTTTGTAAACAAAGAAGTATTTTTCATCTGAATGTGCTCGATTCCATCGACTAGATGCCGGACAAAAGAACTCAGCTTGTCAGGACTGCGAGTGAACAATCGGGAAGGTACCACTTCAACTGAGAGTTGACCGTGCGGAGGGGATCCACAGGAACAAAGCAGAGACTTTGGGGTGGATATGCTACGTAGTAGCAAAGGCTTCGACAGTGTCGCATCTACGATCGTGCACGGCGCCACCTGTGTTCCGACCATTTCCCAATTAGTGCTAAAATCAATCAATACCATTACACGTGTAGCTGTACAGGGCAAGTGAAAGTAAAACAAAGAGAAGAACTTAGACCAGACACTTGCCAGCACTTTCAGACAAGGATCCTGATGTGCCGTCCTCTCAGTGTATGAATGCCATGAGCTCCGTTAACTAAACCGAGCATCATCACCTCAACATAATCAGCTATGAACTATATACGAGTCCTACGACTGGTGAAGCTGTCGCAGACTTACTGGAGGCAACAGCTCGAACGATTATTGCGTAACTGTAGCGTTAAATAGAAAACGAATGTGCAGACTGGTCAAGAAAAGAAACGAACGAAGGAACTTGAACAAATGACGGAAAAAGTCCGAAGCCATTCCAACTAGTCTGTGAGACAGGCAACCCGAGAAACCTCAATGAGTGGGGACGGAAACGACACACTCATAGGAATGAAGAGGGGAAACTGGATTGTTATCGTGGAACATCTGCTGTTTTTAGTAGAAATTCTGACCCACGAGAGAGTCGATAGAAGATGAACTGGAACCACCGAAAGCTTCACAAGTACGAGAAAGAATAGTCTCGTTCAGAGGCCGCCTAGCTGATTGTCCCAATGGGCCTTCGTCAGCACTGTTCACCTACAATTTCAAACAAAGTCGATGGGAGTTCGTCAGAACCAGCAGTTCGGAGGAGCTTGAAGAAGAGACGCACTTCGAAGCCGTCTGGGGTGCAAATTTCACTGCCCGGGACTGTGCTGCGGTCCGGAAATCCAGCTGAAAAACTGCAGGCGCCCAGCCGAATAGGCCTTGAATGTTCAGCCCAGGAAATCAGACATTTTTCCGTTGTTATCAACGATTGTTTCGCGCACTGGAGCTCTCTTTGAACCTGTTGTGCCAACCAGGTTAAGCGCAACCTGGCAGCATTCCAGCCCTCATGCTACCTTCGGGTGGCACGGCAGCTAGGCACCGAAAGCATGCTGTAGCTGAACGATTTGAACGAGTTTAAGTGCATTCACAAAATTTGTAACTTTCATTTCCTCAGCTTTCTGGATTCATCAAGCTTCTCAATCAACGTAGATGCTCTTTTCACATTAAATATACTGGTTCATTGGGTAGCATTGTACTCTTGACCAAGGTGGATGCGTGTCCAACAATTTTCGTGTAAGTCGAGATACGGCGACGGGATCAAGCTGGTTGTCCTGTTCCACAAGCCGAGCGTCCGGCGTCTTTCAGGGTAACATCCAGCCTGATTCAACCTCGGAAGACGCATTATCTAAAGAAGACTTCAGTAGCTGGTTCTGGTAGACTTGTTTTACATCGGGGTCCAACAGCTTCTCAAAGACCGGATGAGTTGTGCGCCTTTCGCGCGTCCCTTGAGAGCGTAACAGAGAGCACCAACAAACAGGCACATTATTCGACTCTAAATAGGTATTCCAGTACCAGCGAGAGTCAGTACGTGACCCATACGACCTGTAGCTAGTGGCAATGTGGTGCCGTTTTGTTAGAGGTTGCCTCGGAGGTGAGGGCACCATGTGGCTAACCGGCTTCGGTTGTTCCGAAAGTCAGTACTGCAAAGAAGCAGTGTGCGGTCAGAAGATAACTGCACCAGGCATTCGCCGCTATTCGTGCGTCCCGGTTTCCGTCCAATATGACTACCTAATAGAGCCTCAGCAGCGCTAAGTCTACCTACTTGCGCACTTTTGTCCTCAGATCACACAGCGTGCCACTCAAAGAGTCGTAAGAACTGTCTTTGAGTGTAGCAGAACTGCAGTTTGTTAGGGCAGCGGTTAGGAGATGCTATTTCAGATGTCAAATGACCCACACAGAGACAACCATCAAAGCGGGGATCCTTCAGTTCTGTTGCCTAAAACATCAGCAGAAACAGCCAAGGCGGTTTCTGAAGGTTTCAGAGGTATGCGTAACCGGAAGTGAGAGGAAGCCAACAGGAAGGTCAGTTCACAAACACACCTGGATTGGGAATCTTTTATCCACAGATAGCACACGTCAATAGGAAGGAGTCCATGGTGCTGTCGGTGCTACTCGCCTTCCAGGATGGGGACCGCGTGATCCTCACTGTGCCTGGTTGGAGACACTACAAGATATGGCTACCAACCGATGCCAGTGGCGTTCTTGTTGTCAGTTTCTATCCAGATTGCCTGAGTGAATGTCTGGAGATGTAGGCACCTCGGAATGACTGTGTTAAGCTAGCACTAAGTCCCTCCCCCGTCCACATTTACTCTTTTCTTTACAATAAGGCTTTCAAATAAGTCATGGTTGTACGGCAGTGAAGAATCGGTGTTGAACACTGATGCCAGGCTGTCGATGATGATGGTGATGAGTCCATAGTGCACATAAGAGCAGTCTGTTGTCCGGCCTTTTTTCGGAGTGCGAAAGTTAAAGTCTGTCAGGTGAACTGACCGTCGGGGTTTGATGAACGATTTTCAAGTGGCTACGAGTCACGTCAACCGTAGATAGTGCAGCTACCGGTAATGGGCGGCAAACGGCTCTGTCAGTGGCCTGTTTTTGTTAACCCACCAGGTTGTGTGCAGCAAGTAAGGCTACCTGGTTGACGACGCTAGGCGACGGCCGATGTGGCATGGGATGAGTTGTAATTGCGCGATTCATGAATGTACGTGGGCTGGAGTATTTCCAAGGCAGGTGGACGACTGGGTCCTCAATCACAGTCTCTGGCTCTACAGTCTAACTGCAACACAGCGGTGGCTACCATGAGACCATCAAACTAGCATACACTCCTAACCAAGTCGTCACATCTTCAAACTTCCAACCTGGAGGACTGGGAGATTTCCATTACTGATCGAACTGGGATAAAATGCTCTGAGTCACACGTACATTCCCAGTATATGTTGTGAATGTGCACAAGTCGCCATACCACCATAAGGTCCACTCTCTTCGTGACGGATGGCGGAACGGAACGGCGGGTTATTGAATAAGAGCAAAGTGCGAAGAAAGGTAATCATCCAGCTGCAACACCCTTCCGATGCTAGTTACCATGCCATCCGAAGAAAGCACGAGGGCTGGGATACTGCCAGGTTGCCCAGACCTAAACAGGGGAAGTCGAGAGGCAGAGGTCCAGTTCGAATCACGGACCTTCCTGTCAGTAAATTCGCGCCATCTCGCTCCAGAAAAACTCTGGGCCCGTCTCGGTCAGTTTAATATGTATGGCCTAACTGGGGTCCTGATGCGCGTTTCGGGGATAAAACATACATCGATCGTAAGAAGGAACAAGGTCTGAGCAAGAGCCAACTATTGCCCAATTCAATAAGGATATGGATATTTAAAGCAGTGACGTAAGGCAGATTACTTGAATTTAATAAGGGTTTATCCTTGTTTATTTTACTGGTCAGATACTTAGATACAGTGAAACGGTTAGATTGACAGATACTCCGGCACAGAGAGACTGGACCTTACCGTGGCGTGACGGTTTGCGCACCTCCGTGACCTCTTGAGCTGTACTGGGGGTCCGGATGACCCTCATAGTCTCTCAAATGGGGTTGGTTACTGGTTAGATTGGTCGCCGGTTGGAACGTGTGTGGCGGATACCTTGACCAAAATGGTGAATTACTCGTATTTCCTGCCAAACACTGTTGCCTTGCGATCGGAATTATGAGCAAAAGATTTCAGGCGGGAACACCAATCGTCTTCTTGTCTAGGTGTGGGCGCCCTGACAGTATCCCAGCCCACATACACCATAACATCTACGTCCAACAATAAACTCATACCATATCGGCCGTCGCGTGGTGTCCCCAGCCGGGCCACCTAGCTTGCTGCATACGGCAGGGCAGGTAAGAGAAAACATGCTAATGCTGATTGCTCCCTTCTCACACTTCCAAGTTTTTCTCTTCCTATCCCACTTCTCTCCGCAGGTATCAGTACCAGGACTGACCGCTCTGTTCGCCATGCGTCACGCTCAACTGCAGCTTCTGTGTGTTTGACTTCAGTGATAACCCCAAACATTTCGGAATCTATCTTCAAAACCCGAAAACCAGTCTATTTGGTTGTCTCTAATGTTCGCATACTCAAGCAAATACAACAACAGGTATGTCTTGCTCGTACGCTGGATTCCCTCTACATTGATGTACGCTGTCTGTCAGAAACGAGGACACAGCATGCAAGTACTGTAAGTGGACTAACTGCCTCCTCTCTGACTGCCAGGTCCCGACTGCGCATCTCTGCTAATCCAGGTACCGCTGCAGTTGGATATGCCGAAGGTTATATGAGTGGCCCAGCGGAAACGTCCCTACTTGATTGGTCGGCTGATAATCGCCTCTGCGCGGTTCGTTTGGCAACGTCTGTGAGAGAATCTCGAGAAAAAGAGGTCCATCGTACCCTGTCTGTTGTCTGTCTATGCCCCAACGGACAGTGGCTCTGGATCTACCAGAGACAGTTTCTATGGCGCTCTAGGTGCTCTTCTGCGACGGACTAATTGCTGGAGACATGAGCGTTGCTGAGGCTCAACTGTGTGGTCGTCTTGGGTTGAATACGAGATTCACGGGCAACGGAAATCGTCTAGTTCAGATGTGTGCCGATCACAGGCTGTTCCTTTGCAGTATCGCTCTCCAGAACAGCGGAAATCGCTTGACGACGTGGAGCAGATCGATGAACCAGTCTAGAATCCAAAGCAGCCAGATCGCCTCTAGCTACCGATGGCGAGGACCGATCACTGCTTACCTAAGGATGAAAAGAAGAGAGTAAGTGAGGAAGAGAACGTTATACTGGCCTATCCCAAGTATTCTGAGGTTACAGTAAGGGCTGTGTGGTTGTACGGTTACGAAACATGGCCTCTGAGGACAGATAGAATGAGACTTCGACCACTCATGCCTTAGAGGCGTTGTTGGATTAGGATGGCGAGATATCTCAAGTGGTTAGAGCGCGAATTTATTGACCGTGGTTCGAACCCGACCTCTGCATCTCGACTCATCCTGTCTAGACTTGGACAACCTGGCAATACCCCAGCCCTCGTGCTTCCTTCGGGTAGCATGGCAGTCAGGTACCGGAAGG